CAAAAAGTTTCAAGAACAAGCTCTAATGGTGTGTATGTATTGTATTTGTAGCTAAAGAAGGTTTGAAGATGAAGAAAGGTGTTGAAGATGAATGGGGGTCTCTTTAGCTCTTCAAAGCTTTTGGAAAATTTGCTAACCCTCAATTCTGAAGGAAGAGGTTGAATTTATAGAGTTTGAGCCAAATTGGTCAAAAATATCTTCAAAAGACAACAGCTGGTGAATTCCCGCCAGTTGTCCTGTTTATCGCTAATGAGACCCAGTCGGGCCCCAAAACACACGGCTGGGCCCAAAAATGAAAAGTCGGGCCTAAAAAAAGACCCTAGAGAAGTTTTCATTGAAACCCGACTAGGTTTAAATGGGCCATGGCCAGGTCCAAAAATCTGCATTCAGGGCTCGGCATAAAGTCCGGCCAAACCAAGGTAATATAACTCGTTTTCTTTATGTTGGTTGGTTCATTTTAAGCTGATTTCAATAGTCTTTTCCATTCTTTAATCAATTTGTCCAAAATGATGTTTAAGTCCACTAAATGAGCGTATCACATGTGTTGCATTAGGCATTTTGTATAGTTAGGAATCATGCAATTTTCTAACTAGTTTCTTTTTTTGACTTGGAGTACTAGGTGAGTTAGAGAGTTAGAGACGAATACGTCCTAAACTTAGTCGAAAAAAGGCGTTTCGAGGGCAAAAATTCAAAATAACCCCTGAACCACTGTGTGGCCCTCACGGACATCTTTGCTCTGACCAATAGGACTTGTGACAACCTAAGGAAAGTAATTCGGACCCGTAGGTTGGGAGTTAGAGCCAAAAACGCCCTAGACTTAGTTGAAAAAGGACCAAAGTGTAAAAATGATCAAACATAAAGAGACAAAGGTGGTTAAATCAGTGAATCAATCATATCGAAAATGATTTAGCCTAATCGGCTAAGTCATGGACTCCCGATTGCCAGGCCACGCTGGATGGCTTGAAAATCTATCTCTGTTCAGTGCCGCTCTTGGCAACCCCGTCACCGAGCGATTCCCTCATCATGTATTTGGTGGTTTCTGACCAGGCCGTCAACGCCGTATTATTAAAAGAGGAACTCAACGAGCAGCGCCCAATCTACTATGTAAGCAAGGCCATGGTCGACACTGAAACACGGTATTTGCCACTGGAAAAACTGGCATTAGCACTGATGATGGCCTCCAGGAAATTAGCGCACTACTTTCACGCCCACACCATAATCGTCCTCACAGCTTTCCCACTAAAATCTTTGTTTGAGAGGGCGAACTTTTCTAGACGAGTTTTGAAGTGGGCAGTAGAATTGGGACAATTCGACATCAAGTTCCAACCCAGGACCGCAATAAAAGCCCAATCTTTGGCAGACTTCGTCGCAGAGTTTACTCCTGGAAGTCATCATATCTTCCCAGTCGACCTAATTGACACAACCGAACTAGGGACGAAAGTTAACGCCGGAATAGCGCAACCCCTAGTAGAAGGTACTCAGTCAAACTCCAAGGCAGTCCAGACTAAGGACAACAAGGAAGAAACAAACAAAGGCTCACCAACAGTACAATCAGATGACGAAGGGCAGACAACAAGTATGGACCTTGAAGAGAACACCATTCTTGACCCCACGACATCATCTGACCCCTCCACGTGCTGGAAGTTGTTCGTTGGAGAGATGTGGAGGCTCTTTGTGGATGGAGCATCCAACCAGCATGGTGCAGGGCTTGGCATAGTCCTCATCTCCCCAGACGGCCTGGTTGTAGAGCAAGCAATCAACCTTGGCTTCCCAGCATCAAACAACGAAGCGGAGTATGAAGCGCTTCTCGCAGGACTCAAATCAGCATGCTACATGAAGGCCACCGATCTAATGGTCTACAACGACTCACAGCTAGTGGTAAACCAAATTTCTGGCGACTATGAAGCAAAGGATGATAGGATGGCCAAGTACCAAGAGTTGGTCAGAGTAGAGATCAAGAAATTTGAAGTAGTAAGGATAGAACAAATCGGCAGGGAGGAAAACAGCAGAGCTGACGAACTAGCAGGCTTCGCCTCAATGGCTGACTCCTCCATACCTCATCCACTACTAATCGACTACCTACCTAAAACAAGCATAGAAGACCCCGAAGCAGAAGAAGTATGTTGCGCAGAATTAGGCCCCTCTTGGATGGATCCTATCATCCTGTTCCTAAAAGACGGCATCCTACCAGAAGAGAAAAAAGAAGCCAACAGAATAAGAGCGAAGTCGCAGCGATTTTGGCTATCTCCATCTTTGGCATTATCCAAGAAGTCATTCTCAGGGCCTTACCTAAAGTGCGTACATCCCAGCAAAGTAGAAGCTTTCTTATACGAGATACATGAAGGGGTGTGCGGAAGCCATCAAGGTGGAAGATCGCTAGCTTACAGGGCCATTTCACAAGGTTACTGGTGGTCATACATGCAGGTAGACTCAGAGAAATATGTCAAGAAGTGTGAAAAATGCCAAAAATTCGCACACCAAATTCACCAACCAGCAAGAGAACTCCTACCATTGACCAGCCATGGCCTTTCGCAATGTGGGGCTTGGACATAGTAGGACCGCTTCCAACAGCACCCGGCAACAGGAAGTTCTTTATCGCAGCAACAGACTACTTCACAAAGTGGGTGGAAGCAAAAGCATTGGCATCAATCAAAGAAAAAGATGTGAAGAAGTTCATGGTAACATTGTTGGTCACATCATCATTTAGAACTCAACCAAATGATCTTAACTGGCTTAATTTTTTTAATTTGTCACAAATTACTTCAATTGATTAATTGTAAGAATTTTTTTTATGCAAATGCGCACATTAGCAGAATGTGTCATACTTTTCCAAGCAAAATTATAAACTTGTTTAATTCAATGATCTAACATCAATCAATTCAATGATAATTTTTTATCAAAAACCTCAACGGCGATATCATTTGGACCAAATTAACATAAAATCGAATATTAAAAGTCAAAATTGAGTTAAATAAAAGGAAAATTATAATATAATCAACAGGAGAGACACCATTCTCCTTAGCCTATGGAATAGAAGCAGTAATCCCACTGGAAGTTGGCCTCCCCACAATCCGAAGCGAAAATTTTGATCCAGACTTCAATGAAGAAGCCATAGCGTTGGAACTCGACCTTGCGGAAGAAAGAAGAGAAAGGGCATTGGTTCACATCGTTTCATACCAACGAGAGTTAATCAGAAAATACAGCAAAAAGGTACATCCAAGACAATTCAAGATCGGCGATTGGTTACTGCGCAAAGTAATGGGAAACACCTTTTTACCAGGAGATGGCAAGTTGGGGCCAAACTGGGAAGGTCCTTACAAAGTGGTTGGGTAGGAGATGGCAAGTTGGGGTCAAACTGGGAAGGTCTTTACAAAGTGGTTGGGTTAGCAGACAAAGGGGCATACCACCTAGAAGACAAGGACGGCAAAGCAATCCCTAGGCCATGGAACACGGCCAATCTCAAGTTGTTTTATTTTTAGCTTTTTTTCTTTCAAACATGTAATTTCTTCTTTTGTCTCAATAAAATAACCAATTCTTTTTCAGCATGAGTTGTTCTTTGTAAAAGTCAGTTTTAGTAAAGATAGGAATATTGCAAATCTTTTGTTCTAAGTTAGCTGGGAAAAAACTTACTTAGAGGTTGGCTAGAATAAACCAACACCATTCCTAAGCCCAGGATATGGATCCAGGCTGCAGGACATTTGGTCGGAATAACCAAACAATGTTCTAAGTTAGCTGGAAAAAACTAACTTAGAAGTTGGCTGAAATAAACCAACTCTTAGTACTCTTCAGCCGAAGTAAGGGTATGGCTGAAGAGTGGTTGGTTGGAATAAACCAACTCTTAGTACTCTTCAGCCAAAGTAAGGGTATGGCTGAAGAGTGGTTGGCTGGAATAAACCAACTCTTAGTACTCTTCAGCCAAAGTAAGGGTATGGCTGAAGAGTGGTTGGCTGGAATAAACCAACTCTTAGTACTCTTCAGCCAAAGTAAGGGTATGGCTGAAGAGTGGTTGGCTGGAATAAACCAACTCTTAGTACTCTTCAGCCAAAGTAAGGGTATGGCTGAAGAGTGGTTGGCTGGAATAAACCAACTCTTAGTACTCTTCAGCCAAAGTAAGGGTATGGCTGAAGAGTGGTTGGCTGGAATAAACCAACTCTTAGTACTCTTCAGCCAAAGTAAGGGTATGGCTGAAGAGTGGTTGGCTGGAATAAACCAACTCTTAGTACTCTTCAGCCAAAGTAAGGGTATGGCTGAAGAGTGGTTGGCTGGAATAAACCAACTCTTAGTACTCTTCAGCCAAAGTAAGGGTATGGCTGAAGAGTGGTTGGCTGGAATAAACCAACTCTTAGT